CATCAATACGAACTGATTCTTGGCACCTCCTTCCGCCGAGCCACGCTCACGTGGGGAGTGGTGGCCCACCGGATCCTTATCAGGTGATCTGGTCCCCAATTAGTAAACTTGGTATAAGATAACGATCTTCGGAAAAGGAGCACCGTCGCAGGCCCTTACTCCGAGCCGTTCTGAGATAACCTGCCGATGTATCTGTTGAGATTGGTGCCTTTAAGAATAGTAACTGTTTTGATTGTGTTTTTTTTTATCGCCGTATAATCTTTCAAGTATCTTTCAGTCATAATCGCCGCACGTACTCGCATCCTCTACAGAATATTCAACTGTTCCGTGACCCAAGGTGCTAACAACGTGATAAGGGTTGCGTATGATCAACAAGGAGTGCGGTACTGCGTGAACAATATTGAGTATAATCATTTATTAACGTTAAGGTTTTCTTAGCATAGTATTTGCACGTTTTAACGACTCTCTCTCTCACTAACAACCATCGCGTTATGCGGGATCCACGTGCAGTTGTCGAAGTGAAATCCGACAATCGTTGATGATACTGTATTGATGCCGTATTGACGTTCCGGGATTGAGAGTTCGCATACTATATCATAGTTAAGGTTGAATTAGTAATAAATTGATCAATACAGAAGTGGTTGTGTGATTCTTTCCTGAAATCTATGCATAAGATCTGCTTCTGCGTTGAGATTTGAACTTGGTGACCTTAATAAACACACTAATACATACTCAGTAAATGTTAAAGCGATAACGGGGTGAACCGGGGTCTGGTTATCATAACGACTTGCGTTATCATAATTACACCCACTCGCATAATTAATACGATTACCTCTCGAATTGGCATAATTAAAATGTGCGTAATTACATAATTAACATATTTCCGGATAATTACACATTTGGCCAAATTTCATTAATTATTATTATTTCCACTGAATATTCATAACCCACACATACAACATAATAATTCACCCACGCACGCATACAACATAACAAATTTTCATAACCAACATATACAACACCGGGAAGCAACGAAATATGTCAATGGAAGAGTGGTGACATGAGACTTGCAGCGGAGCAAAGACTCCATTCCCTGAGGAGAATACAAAAGATATGTAGTCAATGCCAGTGAGTGGACTGCGGTCTGAAAGTCGCTCGCTCCACCGGCAGACTCCACCAAACTCTTTCGTCACCTAGCCACGCTCCCTTCTCAATCATTCACGTAGCCACCAGTCCCCTCGCGCTCACAACCGATATCCCCTGTCATTACCTCCCGTGGCCACTAGTCCATTCGCACTGCAGGCTGACTCCCCTGTCATTACCTCCCGTGGCCACTAGTGCACTTGTACTGCAGGCTGACTCCCCTGTCATTACCTCCCGTGGCCACCAGTCCACTCACACTGCAGGCTGACTCCACTGTCATTACCTCCCGTAGCCACCAGTCCCCTCACAATGCAGGCTGACTCCCCTGTCATTACCTCCCGTGGCCACTAGTTCATTCGCACTGTAGGCTGACTCCCCTGTCATTACCTCCCGTGGCCACTGGTCCCCTCACACCACCGCATGCAGGCTCTATTGTCATTACGCACACAAACGTGGAATTTCCAACACGCGCTTGAATGGCCACCAACGAAGGCGAGCTGCGCGCTCTGACGGGCGCGTTTGGGTACGGGGGTGTCGACACTTCAATGAGAGTGTTGGGGGAGTCGCAGCTGGCTTGGGAAGTACCCGAACTTAAGAAATCGGAGTAGCAGGCAAATCTGGTTTGACGACCTCCGTGAGCTGTATTCCCGTGCGTATGTTGGGCGGTGTTCCAAGACCGGCCTCTGTGGGAGGGAGGTTCGTGAAGGACGCAGCTGGGGGAGTTCGGAGGCTGTCGCCCCCCCCTCCTGCCAGAAACAACGGAGGGGGAAAGAGGAGCGACGCTCACAACAACGAGCTGAGGAGGCGCCGGGCAGATAAAACGCAGGGAGCACAGACGATGCATCTGCCAGTCATCTCAGTGAGTCAACCCATGGCACCTCGGTCTGTTCCGTGACTTCCCGCCAGCGGACCTTCGACACGTTGGACTCAAAGTGTACCTAGCTTGGTACAAGCGCCGTGGTGACGTCACCCCAACTTAGTGGTGAACAGTGGTTGTTGTTGATATTGTGGGAATCCGTAAGTGTAAGTGGTTAGCGCACTGCACGACGAACTCGACCACCCTCGTTCGATTCACGCTCACGGCACAACATCGATTGACAATTATCTGAACCAGCTCCTGGCCCTCCCCAAGGTCGACTCAACCTTAACTAGTGCCTGGTGCGGTGTTGTAAATATCGGCACGGTGGGGAGACAAAGGCGACCGGGAGTGGTGTCGGTCACCCTCTCGGCCCGGTGCACCGTGCCGATCTTCATAGGTGCTCCTCGCTAACGGCACTTGGCCCAACAGCCTGTTAAGGCTATACGGGGGATCTTTGTCTTTGTGTGTGTATAGCCTCGAGACACGTGCAAGCGATGCCATCATTCGCGTCCCAACTTGCTTGGCCGTTCAGGAGTTCTCTGGCTCACGCGTACACCACACGGACACCGTCAGCCCTCTGCACGTGTCAGCTCCTCGCCCTGGGCACACGAGTCTAAAACATGAACACGATTTAAAGCAGCAGGTTTCTGATGCCAATACATTCATCCATTTTAATGTAGGGGGGGGGGGGTTGGTGTTCAATGACGTAAATATAAATGTGTGGTTAAAGCCGCCACCACCCGACAGTATTTATTTCACCTTTATTTAACCAGGTAAAACACCCCTTGAGGTTAAAAACCTCTTTTACGAGGGAGGGCCTGGCAAGAAGCCAGCAAAATGAAATCACCACACACACACAATACGAAGTAGTACAATACAAACACATTAAATACACAATTACAATGGTCAATGCCATTTCCTTAGATCGGAGCTTTGAAATCAGACGGTGATACCCTCTTCTCTAGCTTTAATGAGTAAGGCTTGTCACGAAAACAAAACGTGACTCGTTCAGCACACCGGTGTGTTGGAGAGTCAACTCGAATTGTAAATGTTGTGGGTTCAACCCTCCAACGTTGGTAGTTTAATGCCAATATTGCAGTCGATAACCCCTCCACCGTCCAACGAGACAGCCGATGAGCTGCATTGGCACCGCGTATGAATGGGTATCTGCACAAACACTCAACACCCTCGTCGACAACATTGCCATGAAATATACAATCAGCGACGTTTCGGGCAATGGCCCTTCTTCAAAGCACACGTAGATCGCGACAATCTTGCGTGGTGGAGTGGGATACAAAACACCACGTGGCCTAACTCGCACACAGATACGTATTTGAAAGCCTGCAAGTTACAGTGCCTTTATTGGCAACGTTATCATGTTCGTCGGATGTTACCACTGGGGGCGCTACCAGCCCCTCCCCCCCCAGAATCGCGACCGTGAATTCCGTGACCATTCGGCGGTGGCGTTTGCATGTGCAAGTGTGTGTGTTCAACTTCTTTCGCACCGTACGTATCCAACCGTGTCACGCTGCTGCAACTCGCGGTGGAGGTTTGTAATAACATCGGGGGAGTAATAACGCTGGGGCAGGGAGGTGGGGCGTACCAGCCAGAGAGTGTGTGATAGTGTGTGTACCAGGGTGTGTGTGTGTTAGTGTGTGTACCAGTCAGGGTGTGTGTGTGGTAGTGCGTGTACCAGTCAGGGTGTGTGTGTGTTAGTGTGTGTACCAGTCAGGGTGTGTGTGTGGTAGTGTGTGTACCAGTCAGGGTGTGTGTGTGATAGTGTGTGTACCAGTCAGGGTGTGTGTGTGGTAGTGTGTGTACCAGTCAGGGTGTGTGTGTGGTAGTGTGTGTACCAGGGTGTGTGTGTGGTAGTGTGTGTACCAGTCAGGGTGTGTGTGTGGTAGTGTGTGTACCAGTCAGGGTGTGTGTGTGATAGTGTGTGTACCAGTCAGGGTGTGTGTGTGGTAGTGAGTGTACCAGTCACGATGTGTGTGTGATAGTGTGTGTACCAGTCAGGGTGTGTGTGTGTGTGATAGTGTGTGTACCAGTCAGGGTGTGTGTGTAGTAGTGAGTGTACCAGTCAGGGTGTGTGTGTGGTAGTGTGTGTACCAGTCAGGGTGTGTGTGTGGTAGTGTGTGTACCAGTCAGGGTGGTGTGTGTGATAGTGTCTGTACCAGTCAGGGTGTGTGTGTGATAGTGTGTGTACCAGTCAGGGTGTGTGTGTGGTAGTGTGTGTACCAGTCAGGGTATGTGTGTGGTAGTGTGTGTACCAGTCAGGGTGTGTGTGTGGTAGTGTGTGTACCAGTCAGGGTGTGTGTGTTAGTGTGTGTACCAGTCAGGGTGTGTGTGTTAGTGTGTGTACCAGTCAGGGTGTGTGTGATAGTGTGTGTGTGTGGTAGTGTGTGTACCAGTCAGGGTGTGTGTGACAAGGCGGGTGTCTCGCTGTAGGAGGAGCCAGAGCGACGCGTGCCCGGCTCATGAAGTGGAGAGCCCCCGCGCCTCGGCCTCAGCCGCGCAGACAGCAGCAGCATCAGCAGCAGGAGCTGCTTGGGCAGCAGCAGCATCAGCAGCAGGAGCTGCTTGGGCAGTATCAGCAGCAGGAGCTGCTTGGGCAGCAGCAGCAGGAGCTGCTTGGGCAGCATCAGCAGCAGCAGGAGCTGCTTGGGCAGCATCAGCAGCAGCAGGAGCTGCTTGGGCATCAGCAGCAGGAGCTGCTTGGGCAGCATCAGCAGCATCAGGAGCTGCTTGGGCAGCAGCATCAGGAGCTGCTTGGGCAGCAGCAGGAGCAGGAGCTGCTTGGGCAGCAGCAGCATCAGCAGGAGCTGCTTGGGCAGCAGCAGCAGGAGCTGCTTGGGCAGCAGCAGCAGGAGCTGCTTGGGCAGCATCAGCAGCAGCAGGAGCTGCTTGGGCAGCAGCAGCATCAGCAGGAGCTGCTTGGGCAGTATCAGCAGGAGCTGCTTGGGCAGCATCAGCAGCAGGAGCCACTCCCCGTGTCGTGCCAAGGCGGGCGCGACTCCGCACCCCCCAAGCACAACGCGACTCGCCTCGCCTCTTCCCCTTTCCGCGGTGAGTTCATAGACCTCGACTGCTGGCCTAAGGCGTTATCGGAATCTGCGTAAGATCTCTTTCGTTTTGCACAGAATACCAACACACTTACATCATCATCATCTTCATTCACCATGCGGAACTGATATAAGTCCGGATTTACGTTCTCCGCGTTCCTGATGTCGCTGTAAAAAGATTCTTGATGTCGCTGTAAAAATTATTAATGCATGTTTTTTGCCCCCCTTAGTTGAATTTGGCAATTAATTAATTGGAGGACAAACATGCCCCACGTCCAAGGGCTTGGGACTCGGCAATGTTCTCCCATTGATGCAATTATTGGATGGGGGGGGGGGTCATTGTTAGCATTGTAAGAGTGAGTCGTGGATCACCATTAAACCGCAATTAAGCCGACCTCAACCACCACCGTGTACAATTATAGCTGCTTCCCTTCACCGACACCAGCCGCATCCCCTCCAGTTGTTTCTTCTTCTCTCACCTTGGCGTTCCCGTTGAAGCTCGCGCGCTTCGTAATAACAACAATGCTCGTTGCGTTGCGCGTTGAGACGTGCGGCATTGTACGTACACGCGCTCGGCCAGCAACATTTGACACCGCTACGTAGTTTGCGATATTGTGTCATTATAAATGTAGCGTGCGATGTAATTGCTCCTTGTCAGTCGCTCCGCAGTGCCGCTCCGCTATATTTATAAACCCTGCCTCTGCGTGAGATACAAAATACGGAAAAGGCTTCACATGGCAAACTAAATCTCGCATTTGTTTGCAAGCGGCACGAGCCAATATACTTATATATCATAAAACAGCGTCCCTCTGAAACGGGCGATGACTCATTGACGTGAGCACGTGGGTGGGTGTTGGTTGGAAAGACTTGGCACTGTCTGACGTGTGAATGACAGCGCCGATGTGATTGTGTGCCCGTTGACAAGGTAGAGAGAGAGAGAGGGACGATATGGTAAGTCCCGATCAGTCACGTTCGCCTCTCTCCGGCAACCTGAAGTCTGCTGTAGGTTGTACCTTCTCGGATGGGATATCAAGCCCTGCCTGCCTGCATGCGTGGCGTGGCTGCTTCTGGGGTTTGCTTGTCAATTGCAATTCTGTTTAAGAATTCCCGCCACGCCACAACTCCCCACCCGCTCCCCCGCTCAAGTGATCGCTGAAGCCCCTCTGCCTGTCTCCTCTGTCTGTGTGCTGCTGAAGCGGATACACGGCCTCTGAACGTAACCAGCCGGTGGCTCTTTTGGACTAACGCGTGGTTGCCCTTGACCAGAGCTTTGTTACTCAAAATCATGTTCGGCAGAAGCTGGATGTAAGCACACCTTATGTAAGCAGAGTTGCGATGCAAGCAACGCATGCTAACATTACACCGATGCGGATGGGAAGGCAAAGGAGTATTTCCTGATGATGTGAACACACTGCTTTTGATATCCGCTAAACATCTGTGAAAAATAGCTCCACAGCTCATTGGATTCCTCTAGTCGAAATAACGATCACGATTCTAATATAGGCACATCTGGCCTTGCTCCCATTGGGGTGTGCTTGTAATAAGCTTCTACTGGAGTACCCATTTCTGGCAGGGTTAAGTGGTGGTGCAGTGGTTAGCGCATTGAGCTTTACAGTTCGAATCGAGCAGCCGACCCTGGTTACAACTGCGGGTGTAGTAACTGCAATATCACCTTGCTACGTCAGCTTCACATTGGACGATAAATATCTTCCGAAGTCCTTCGCAAGAGCCAGGCCATTGTGTGCCGACAAGAAGATCCACGTTTTTCAAATTCGCCGATTTAAAAAATATCACACTCAATTGGGGTTTACACACAGCAGCAGCAATACTCGCCCCCCCCTAGGTGCACTCTTGCAAATGAGACTCATCCTAGTGCAGTGTTCTTCATTACAAGGCCCGCAAATCACTGGCGGCCCCTTGGTGGCCTTTAGTGCGGCCCCTAACGTGCGTGGACCCCGACAGCCCACTTGTAAAAACACCCCCCACTTGTAAAAACACCCCCCACTTGTAAAAACACCCCCATCATCATCGTGCTGCGGTCAAACCCAACAGTGGTTTCAAACGGTGTGGCGGTCCCTCGCACCGATGATGTATTATCGGCAAAAGTGCCCCCCCCCCCCCCTCTGAAAATGAGTGAAGATCACTGCCCTAATGTCTTGAGTTGTCGCCTGCTTAGAACGAAACCAACTTTGGAACTGTGCCATCAAATATGACGACCCGGGTGTTGGGTGCCCAACTGTCATGGCCGACATCAGGTTTGCGAGTAACGTCTGAAACGGTCCTCGGGCACTCCCTTTCACGAGCTCGCACTCACCAACGTGTTGACGCGCGGATGAACAGCCCCGATGACCTACACGGTGTGGGGGGGATGGGGGGGTAGGCGTTCGACTCTTAGTATATTGATAAAGGACTGTGAGTAATAATAATTATTATTTTCGTTGAGTTGTAATATCTGGTCAAGAGGTTTGCTTGATTGCTATCGGCTGTATTTTCATGCTCCACAGGCAGCAAGTTATTAGGCTCACCCAGTGATGGGGAGGTATCGTTGTGTTTAGTTTGAGACATAACAGGGTTCAGTGCTTCAGGATGACCCCTGGCCCTACGCGTGGATCCATTTAAACTTGAGGTGTTACTTTTTTTAAATTAATTTGGATTTCAGATAGTTCAAAGTTGTACGCAGTCCACTATATTTGTCTCTTTAGCACATTGAAGCAAAACTAGTGTTGTTTAGTTAAAGTCCTCTTGTTTGTAATAAAGTAAAAAAGATTATATTTTGGCATTGACCTGTCTACAGAGAGTCCAGTGAGTGTAGTAACAAAAGCGTGATGAATAGTTTGTATGCCTGCCCTGTTGGGAGGACCACTGCACATTTCAAAGTTATACATTAATTTTTTAGTTGTATTTTACAGTGGCATTTAAACCTCACGTCTTGTATCGACCCATACTCATTAGTCGTGAGTCAAAATCCCAGTCGCGGGTCAACTCGGCTCATCGTTTCTCTGGGGTTGATAAAATTGGTACCACTTTGTCGGGAGTCAACGAAAGTTCTCCGGCGTGAAACATCAATTGTCTCCCGCAATGTGGAATATGTTTTGGCAAAGAGCCACCGATGAGCACAGGCTACCATCGCGCGCTCGCGGTTAAACACCGGTGACTCTCTGACATTGTCTCGTTCAAAACAGCGACGGCACTGCAGCCTTTCCAGACGCAGTGATCCTTGCACCGTGGCCAAAAGCAGTCCCTATAAGTTTTATTTGCGGTTGTGGAGGGGGCTCAAACTTTGAGCAGCGGTGGGTAGTGAATGGGAACCCACCGTCGAACTGCAACTTGCACGGGTGATCGCATGGCTGTTGTCATTTATGCCGGGTCATTACCATCGACTTAATCTTCCTCCAAGTGCTTTGCTTTTTTGTAGTGCTCTACTGCATGGCAGCACATCATTCCCGAACGAACGCGTGATTCAAAACGTGTACAGAACACTTAGGCTCGGCCAGGCCCTTGTGGATAGCCGTGCGGCTCGTGAATTCTGCTCACACTTTATCAGCCGAGCAAGGATTGGCAAAGGGCGTCTTTGATGTGAATGAAATTGTAAATACGATAAATCTTCTACCCATGTCCACATGTGCGTTTTAAATGATCGACTAAAAACCGGTTCGAAAATGTACGTTCAGAATGATGCATGGCTGACTCTGATTTTGTGGCAAGGTAAACCCACAGTAATGTGTAATTTTACACTGCTCTTTTATGGGATACTAGTGGGAAGTGCCCGGCGTTGCCCGGGTGAAAAAGACACACACACACATCGACTTAGACACACACACAGACATCGACCCACACACACAAACACATCGACTTACACACACACACACACATATAAACATCCACTTTAGATACACACACAGAGTTACACACACAAATCGATGTACACACATAAAGCGACTCACACACACACATATGGAGACTCTCACACACACATCGACCTAAGTCCGGACTTACACACACACATATCGACTAAGACACACACACAAGGACTTACACACACACATGGAGCCAGGCACACACATCGACTTACACAACAATCCCTGATGATGCCACAGCTAGAGCATTTTTTTCTCTCTGGCGAGCCTGAGCGAGGAGGAGTTTGAAAACAAAGGTCTTCCCAGTACTGGCAGGTGCATCAAGGAAAAAAATTACTCGATTTGTAGTGTCAATGTCTTCCAAGATCTTCGTGTCGGCTTCTATTTGTGCATCCATCAGCTTTTGTTAATTTTCCTAAATAAATTAAAGAAGCTCTAAAGCATAATAGCATATTTCACATAGGATCTCTTGAGCAAGGGCATGCAGGTTGTCCCTGTAGGGTGTTGGTAGTCCCATAGATGTGAGGTATTTTCCACCAATGGAGTGCAATTTGTCCTGAAGGAGGATGAGGGCCTGTTTGAAGATGATATCAGAAAAGTTGACGTCGAGGTTTGTATTTTCTCATTGAGCTCCGTGGAGGATGTCCTCACTCATGCCCTTTCGTATTTTTACCAGAGTCCCATGGGGTTAGATGGGCTGCAAACTTTAAGATTTATGGAGAAGAGCTATGTCAGTTGGAAAGGGGACTGACCAACAGAAGCTTCTGACATAGCTTCATGAAGATGGTGATCATGCGCAAGAATTGCACGATGATTGCAAGCTTCCCTGTATGTTTGACAGACAACTCCTTCCACTGTTTAGAGGTCTTGGAAAGATGTGTGCCCTTTGGCAACATGTAGAAGCAGTGAGAGAAAGTAGTGTGGGGGCTACTGCCCCCCGATTCCTCTTTATGCGACATAACTCTCGGCTGGCCCCTTGGCTACCTTGGTCAGTCAAACACCCTCCGCGTGTCTTCCCTCAAACATTGGTAAGAGCTACCCGCACGCTACTGCTCAACCCTGTGCACACGCTAAAAATAGCACGGCAGCTGGGGGTCAGAGGTCGGAGGGCAGTGGCGTTGCTCGCACACGCGCGGCCGCCGTGGGC